TCAGTTTGCTAAAGTGCACTGAATAATGAATGAATAATCAGAATGAATAATAATAATCGTTCGGCCACTGACCTCCCATCCCTACTAAAGAATAATTTCGCCATTAATGTGAAAAATACACAATACACAAATAAACAAATTTCACCTCTTTACAACAGGGGTCGATGACCTATAGTAGCAGTTGGGTAAATTTCTGAAATAAAATAACGCAACGGGTGCCGTCGCTCTTTTATACTTAAATATAAATATTATTGTAATGTGTATTACAAAATCATAAATTTATCACATACTAGCGACCCGTCCCGGCTTCGCACGGGTGCAATGCTGAATGTTTGTTTTCGACGTCGCATTAGAAACTTCTAAGATTATCAGTGATATTATATTATTATGCATGAATTATACCTATAAACCTTACTCTTGAGTCACTCTATCTATTAAAGAAAACCGCATCAAAATCCGTTGCGTAGTTTTAAAGATCTAAGCATATATAGGGACAGACAGACAGCGGGCCGACTTTGTTTTATACTATGTAGTGACGAATGTTGGAAATTATTCAAAGGTGAATGATGTCATTATAACATAGTTTCGCTGGCACAACGGTTGCAACCACCGCATTATTATTTTAGTCTAGATAGAAAGATTTACTTCGACTTGAAATTAAAGCGATCAACATTTTGAAAACACAAACGTAAAAGTAAAATCGCAGAACCTTTGAGAATTTTTCGCATGAGAACAAAAGATAGATCCTGAGCGAGGAAATGTTCTATGCGACCGTAACATTTTAGCCTTTGTCAGTTTTGCGAGGAGAATATTCGTCGTCGACAGAAGCCAGGGTTCCCAACTTTGAAATTTCCCTCTAAATTAAGGAGATTACGTTGTAAAATAAGATTTCTTTAGGGTTCTAAGATTTTTAGGGGCATTAATTAAACTTATTTTTTTATAGACGAATTATAAAATTGATTTCTGGATACTAAATTACTAAATTAATTAGTACCTTTTACTTAAATCAGCGACATCTGAATCTGCTGAAAATTATTTTTACTTATGATATTATGCAAAAATTTGTATTGTACTTCAAAAACATTAATTATACTTCTTAGAAAGTACTTATCCTTCGAAAAAAATTTTAGGGTTGATGATTGTTTTAATATACGATTTCAAATTTAAAAATAATGTTACTCTTACATATAAACAATTGCAAGTAGCGAAAATAATTTTTCAAAATGTCAATATTTTTGACAATATTCGGGTAATGTCAACTCCAATTTCGGGAGGTTTTTGGGAGTTGGTAACCCCTACGGAAGTCCGCCCCGCCATGCTACGCGACTGCTTCTGACGGCTAACAGGTTGACGTAACACAATAGCGCATTGTGCTGATGGGACGCTATTCAACAATTACCGCTAAATAGATACGGCCAGATATAATTATCGTAATCTGGCGTAGGGGTGGGCGCGGATTTGGCGTCAATTTAGTTTTTTTTTTTCGAAGTCAACGTCAATTCTTTATTCGATTCGTTCTGACATTCTGTGTATGTGGTAATAAATTTTAATACTTTATGGTCGTTGTTAGTTGCCAGTAGCAAATTAAAAAAATAATAGTCTTTCCTTGACCGAATATTTTATTCCACGTGTTTCTCTTACTAATTATGTGGACATTAACACTGCTTTTTCATATGGTGATTTAACGATTATTGATATTATTTAATATCTTTAGTCCCTCAGAACAGAAAGTTAAAAATAATCAAATATGTGGGCTGGATATCGATTACACTATTAAACCATCGGAAATTATTTTATTCTTCGTTAGCTTATGATACTCCGATCGGAACTCAAATATAATAGGTAACCAAAATATGAAAATTTAAGCAGCATTTATTCAAGCCTAATATTTAATGATTATTCATGTCTTTTAAGTTAAGTTACCATTTTTGTTTAGAACCCTTTAATTTTCGAAGTAACGCCAATTCGGAACTCATCCGAGACAAACTTTCCAATAGACGGATAAGAATTGTAAAAATAACCATTTATGATTTATTTGTTAAGTTCCAGTTTGAGCGAAGAAGCATATGCTTACGAATGCAAATAAGAAAACAAAAATATAATAAAATACCAAAGATTAAAGAATAAAATAAAGCACATATAATAACAAATAACTTAATAAAATTAAGATTTACTTGAATCAGGTATAAAATCGGCGACAACACTAAAAAAAAATCTAAACATTAACAATTAGAAATTATATTTTTAAGCCCTTTTCACCTAAACTATTACATTTATTTAAAATCATAGATTGTAATCAGTTTTCCACCAATTTCAAAAAAGTTAGGGGATTCTCAAATCGGTTGTACTTATGTTTGTTTCCAATTTTAAATGCTGTTTTCGCATCAGACTTGATATAGCTATCATGTGGTGCCATATCATTACAATCGCTTCCTTCTTATAGAACCAGAATCTAAAACAAGAAGTAGCTACTAAGGGCGGTGTTCCATGCAAAGATTAGTTAACTGCCCAACCATTCTTTATAGAATCACATTAGATCGCGTGGCGACGGACCGCCACCAATTTATTAATTGATTCATCATATTAATGTCGACCGGAACTAAGGGACCCGTCATAATCCTTATTCTAAGGCGATTAGGTTTATTATCGTGTGTCTCGGGGACCATCCTCACTGGTGCGTAACCAACCCCCCAACGCTGTAGAGTGATGGCGGAAGGGTGATTTGAAATAGTAATTTTATTAGCTCCATTGAGATTAAGCACTTCGCTACTTAACTAAACTGGTTTTGCGCGGCTTGTGCCGCGGAAGTTTTGTTGGTTCCAATAATGGTCACAGACTTTATTTACATTATTCATTGGTTATGCATCATAGGCAGTTAGTATTATTAGGGATATTTTTCTTGTTTACACGTACACCCTGTTAATTAATGTTTTATGTTAACTAGACACGTTATCCTTCCCGCGATAATTGACGCTTTGAGTTATAAGAACCATCCTTATTTCCTCACTAATATTATAAAGGCGAAAGTTTGTATATTTGGATAGATGTTTGATAGTCTTTCACGCCAATACTACTGAATGGATTTTAATGAAACTTTACAACAATATAGCTTGTACATCAGAATAAGACATAGGCTATAATTTATATACATATTTTATGTATATCTGTCTTTCTGTCTGAATGTTACGCATTCAGCCTATTCTAGGCAGACGTAGTCGCGGGCAGAAGCTAGTAACTACATATTAAAAGCTCATACTAAATATTTTTGTCATCCTAAAAATATAAACTACTAGCGACCCGCCCCGGCTTCGCATGGGTGCAATGCTGAATGTTTGTTTTCGACATCGTATTGGAAACCTCTAAAATTAACAGTGTTTCTCAACTATATTATTCATGAATTATACATATAAACCTTCCTCTTGAATCATTCTATCTTTTAAAGAAAAATGCATCAAAATTCGTTGAGTAGTTTTAAAGATCTAAGCATACCTATATAGGACAGACAGACAGCGGGACGACTTTGTTTTATACTATGTAATGATAATGATATTCAACGTACATGTGCGGCTTTTTGGATATGTTCACGTAAAGCTTCCTAAAGAGTTTTAAATACTTTTAGTCGTTGTTTTAGGACCGGCGCAAAAGCCTCCGCGGCTGCACGAATGGGCAGGCTCGTCCGGGCAATTATCACGCCCTTGCACAAAATCGCCGTTAAGTCGAAGTATTGCGTTTCATCTAATGAGTGAGGTAACCGGGGCCCACTTTAAAGGTGTCAAACACATCAGGTGATGCTCTCTTATCATGAGGTGGACTACCAGCTCGCTAGAGAACTCTTCGCATTTGTTTACATTGCAAAAGAACTTACTTTAAACATGCACAAGTTTGAATGAGATATTCCTGCTACACAAACGACAATGACCATTTCTGCCCCACGACGTCTATGAGAACATTGTCGGATTAGGCAAGGGCGGGGCTTGTAACAAATTATTTAAGCAGACAAACAGCCTTGATCTGCTATGAGACCTCAAGTATACATTGGTGAAAAATACAATACAATACTATCACTTATTTCATAAGTTTCACTCAGAAAATGAAGGCTCAGGTAGAGATGAGTGGATTTCAAAATGCGGGGCGCCCTTTGGCGCGGGGTCCGTAGTAATTGCTACTCTTGCAGCAATTGCTACGGAATCCGCTCCTACGTGGTTAATTCGGCACTGCTTAAAAATCATATTAGTATGTAGAGATAATTATACGAATGCGAAATAAAATGTAAAATATGATGATTTTGAACATGGTTAGCTTCCATGTCCATATTTATATAGAACTACCTTTTCACGTCTGGCAGCTTATGTATAAAATATATTTGGTGGGACTTACTCGGACTTTAACTATTTATGTAAATGATGAAATAAAAATAAATAAATAGATAAAATTAAAGAGGAAAATCTGAACTTAAAAAAAACACGACACGGTACTTTCAATGTTGTAGAAAGAAGTAAGAAGATGGCAAGGGACCTGGCGGTTCACCACACTTCTAATTTAAATGCATTGACTTATAAAAAACCTTATTGGCATAAATTTAAACGACCCTCTACTGAAATTTAAATTGTTTATAGTGCTAATCTTTGCACTTAAGATTGAACATTAAAATATGTAGAAAAAGTGCGAAAAGATAGTCGCCGCTGCGGGAATTGAACCCACGTTTTCGGCATTGATTCAAATGCTAAGAAAACAATGTAGAAGAATGCGTTAAGATTTTCGTCGGTGTGGCAATCAGCCGTATAGCTCAGTGGCTAGAGCGTCAGGCCGCGAATGCCGAAGACGTGGGTTCGATTCCCACAGCGGCGACAATCTTTTCGCACTTTTTCTACATATTTTAAAGACCCTCTACTGAGACAAAGAGACACATAGATTGATAACATACCGACGACAACCTGACCTTGAGAGGTCACACAAATACCGTTTTCCTACGGAACCTTAACAACAAGACTCCACAGCCAATGAATGTTTCAGCAGAGGAGAGCGCGTCACCGTTGCGATGGTCACCACCCACTTCGGCTGCCCTCGTGGCGGCCGCTTTGGCACCGCCGGCGCTCCGGCCCTGGCTGCCGGAGCCCCCCACCAAGAAGGCCAACCACCTGGGTAAGACAGGTTGGCATCGAAACCCACCTGCTAACTTTCGCGAGTGACATCCTTACTAATATTATAAAGGCGAAAGTTTGTATGTATGGATGGATGTTTGTTATACACGCAAATGCTACTGAATGGATTTTAATGAAACTTTACAATAATATAGGTTATACATCAGAATAAGACAGACTATAATTTATATACATAATTTTTTGTATACTGTTTTTCTGTCTGTATGTTACGCCTTCAGCCTATACTACAGACGTAGTCGCGGGCAGCAGCTCGTTGCATAGTATGTGCAGGGTGTCCCAAAACGAACCGCTAATAATATTACTTTTAAGTTTATGTATATTCTTTATGAGAAGGAGGCAAACTAACGGACGGTTCATCCGATGTTGAGTGATAGCCGCCGCCCATTGAAAAGGTGGCAACGCATCTGCAACACCAAAAAGGGTTGCAGATGCGTTGCCACCTTTTGATATAGCAGGCCCTGGCTATCGCACTCACCAGACGAAACGCGGAACTATAACACTTCCATTTCACGCCGGTCTTCGTGAAGTCGTTTTACTTACCCGGACGGACCTGCCCATTCGTGCAACATCGAAGACTTTTGAGTGGTCCTACCGCAGTATTAGATTATGTGAAGTTTCATCGGCACACTTAGGGGAAAGACTATTCCACGTGCTTTTTACTCTTCAAAGCAGAGTTACATGATGACATACGCATCCAGCACTACACCGTTATATAGATGTTAAATATAGATGTTATCGATGTACAGCTGTCATAAAAGTCAAACCGATGCTTTCGAAACTGTTGCGATAAAATTATATGTCTCTTATTATTTGGTCAGCTGTTTAAAACAAGGACATGGATAACTTATGCTAGCTTCTTTGATTTTGTGATCTGAAGTTTTCACATTTTTAATATCAAACGTTAATGAAGTGACGTTTTGAAAACCAGTTTTAAACTCGGTGAGACGTGGATAGAGCTGGATATTTCTGTCTTATTATTAGAGTTAAATAGACGTTGTGAAATGAAACTATTTTATGGATTTTATTGCGTTTAATTATATTTTTAAACATCCGATGTTTCGAACCCTTTCCAGCATTCATGGTCACGGGAGAGACGGGGAGTCTGAAAATATTCGCGTCAAATCAAGAAATCTGTTCTAAACACGTGTTCATAAGTATCATCTACCGTTTTTGGCACTGCGCCGAAGGCAGAAATAACGAATGCTATAGTCCGTAGTAGTGTAACAAGTCTTACCGGGGGGTTCCCCTTTTTAGGGTTGGTATGCGTGGTATGCGGCGACACCAGCTCGGGGAAGCACTACGGGATACTCGCTTGCAACGGCTGCAGCGGATTCTTCAAGCGCTCGGTCAGAAGAAAACTCATATATCGGTGAGTGTGTTCAGTTATAATTATAACGACAACTTGGCGACTTCAAGAATAGTCTATTCCTGAAATGCCGTAGAAGCATATACTGTGCCTTTCCTCTGGCGAGTGGAGCTACGTTTTAAAGGTTGGTAACGTAACATATTATATTTGTCCAAGGGCGGCGGTAATATCACTTAAGATGAGATGTAGCACTCGCATCTCACTTGCCAACTTTTTGCCTAAAAAAGAATAGTGAATGACTGGACGTTCCCAACTCTGAATGCACTTTGTCTGACGAATTGACTGCCCTATAATGACCATATAGCATCGTATTTTCCTATCTATGTTGGGAAGGCAGTCAAATGCTGGCCATTTTTTAAATAAAAATATCTAAACATATTTCGTTGGTACGATAGATGTGATCCGCGGATATCGAAAGTCTATAGAATCCGGTGTTAGTGTTGATTATAAAGAGAGAAAATGAAACTTATAATACCGAATGATCCAATAAAGCATTTTGATAAAGTCTGATGCTGTTTGACATATCTTTATCATCTCAACACACATATTTTGCACAAAGCAATGTTTTTATGTTAAAAGCAATGTTCAATTTTTGACTACAGGTGATAATTTCTTCGTTTACAAGTTTTAATTTAAGAAAGTCAAACCATATGCAATATATCCCTTGCCTCTATCTGAATATGATTTACAAGGCATAATTTGACACCTCATCAAGCTGATCTTACAGAAAAAAATCGATCGAGCTCAAATATCTCGCAATAAATTACAAAGGCTGGAATCCGTGTTAATTCCGAGCGTTCAATTCAGTGAGCCAATCGCAACAATTGTACAAACAGTTAATGTTTGAGTGATCTATTTCCATACAAATCTATTTCTGATTCGGTGAAAGCTGTTTAACTTAATTCACCTGATGTTGAATTTAGATATGATTACGAGAACAAAAGCCACAGTAATATATGCCTTGGAGAAGCGGAGTCCAAAGCAAGACTTTTAGTTATCGAGTTGTCATAAAATAAATCTTTTAGATTTGTGAATAATAAAAAAAAATCTTGTTCGACTTTTACAAAAAATTTTATCTGTATTTAATTTTGTTTTTTGAGAAAAATCTGCTAGTGAGCAGACGGCACAGCTGATGATAAGTGATTACCGCTTCATACCTCAGCGCTGGCACCATTTATTGGTATTACAGCGGGCCCGATAACTTTACTCACCATATTAAATATAAAACACTTCCATTTTACGTTGGTCTTCTCTGAGGCCATGGTACTTCCCCTCAATATAAATTTATGTTTCACATACTTTACAATTGATACAGCTGTGATACTTTTAAAGATCTTTGTCACTAAAACTTGTCCGATAAAGGGTGTTTGGTGTTCTTGGTACTTGATGCATTACTCACGTCTCAACACCCCTTGCTTCGTCAAACCAAACCTGGCCATTGCGAAATTACGTTCGTGAATCATCACCGCGATTCGTGAGAAATTCGTTACACATTTAGCGTTTGTTTTTCGTGCGTTTCGTTTTTCGGCGCTGTTTGCACACTACAGTTTTCGGTGTTTGCACAGTTGGCACCGCATCCGCATGCCGGTGCCCCACTAGGCCGCGTTGTGTCTGCGACCCAAAAAAGGTGACGCGATATGGAACTCTCTCGGAGTTTCACAATCTCTCCTCTATTGTGTTACAAAGTGCTTTGACTCGGTCCGCAATTGGCGATTAATGAAGGTTTCCACGGTATTCTCTCGTGTCGGCCTTCAGTGTTTGTTACCCTTCAAGTATTTTGTAATTTAAACAAATAAAGTTCTTACAGGGTCTTCAGGCAACAGCGGCACGGTTGTGGTTATCAGTATATGCTCAGCATTAGAGCAAAATCAAAGCAACACAGTCATAACAGCTTCTGGTGTCGAATTGATGTGGGATCGGCTGAAGAAATACAGCTTCTCACGCCTGTCTGAAAAGACAGGATTACTGCAAAACTTCTTATACTTTTGCATTTGATCCGAGAGGAATATAAGAATGTATTTGCAGCAAAACTGAAACCCAACTAGTGAATGCCCAAGGAAAACGATTAATTTACTTCGGGGCAACCCCCTTCAGTTTTAACACAAGTTAATAATCAAAAGTTGTTTGTGTCAGCACGAACTTGTTTTACAGCCATTTTCAATATACTATCAATCTGTAGATTTGGTTACTAGCGATACTGTTGATATTAGCTCCATAATACTACAGCTACAAAATATTGAAAACAGCTGTTAGATCATTTATATCTCAAACCTCTTCAGGATTTTTCACAGACAATTCAACCAAATCGTCTACCGTAATAAGACGATAATACAATGCGAAAGTTAAGCCAAGCTAGACCCATAATCTCGACTTAAAATCAACAGTCAACAATTTCCTTGGTGCCGGCAAATTGTTTACCAACACCCGCTACTTGTAATACCGTAACGCATTCGAAAAAAATTAATATCAATTTCAAATCATACGTCCCCCGGGCGGGTTCGAAACATGTAAATCCCCCAAATCCCTATCAAAAACTGTAGCGAGCGTAGACGGTACAAGTCACATCTGTGGCGGAGCACAAAAATGACAGTGAGGGGGAGCTGATAACACTTGAACCCACTTAATCCGTGCTGTGAGCATATTTCTAATTCTTCTTGCATCTGTGGCCGGGAGTTCGGAGCTGTTACACGTCACAAGCGGAGCGGCAAGTGATCTCGTGATGATTCTAGGATATCTGAACCATAAAGCTCTTTGATATAACAAGATCTAATCGATTTTGAAGACAACAACAATCCCTTCAATTTATTACTCAAAAGGGTAAATGTTGAAATAATTTCGATGATATTAAAAAGGAGGCCTTTTTAAACGGTTTTATTTAGCTCGACCCGTACCTACGGAATTTGTTTGTTTATTTGGGTCAAAATTAGAAATTGAACTTTAAGCACCTTCCCGTTGTCAGATTGATCTGAAATTTGGTACACACATTTAATTTAGATGACAATACAATATTGTAGTTTTCAGTGCACATAAAATAAAACCGTTTAACTTTAAAGTTTTTAAACGGTTTTATTTATCTTTTTGTGAGACGTGTTTTGAAACGTAATTACGGCAGCAAAACAACCTTCGCTTTATGACGATGAAAGTACGCCAAAAATTATTTTTGTAAAAAAACCCGCTTAGTAGCTGAACTGCCCTGTATTTGTCTGTATTTCATACTTCTATAACTAATGTGACAATCGTTTTTTACTCGACTGCGGCAAAGCCAAAGAGATTATGTGTTTCACCTGTATGGTGTGTTCGACCCTGTATGTTCCCCGTGACGGATGATATGTCAATAGAATTTATTGCACGGGAATCACTGGATATATTAAAATTGAAAAAAAGCTAAATGAAAAATAAATAAAACACTTTTTTGATCATTAAATTGTTAACAAAAAATATATATAACAGCCACGAGTAATTGTTCTTTGCAAAGTCGATTCTATTCCACTGGATTCCATAATCGCTTCAGCTCTTACTCTGGACGCGTCGCGAAACGCCCCCAATTGCGGGGATGTTTAAAGCAATGCGAAATTCATTTGCGTTTTTACAGGGAGCGCTTCTATCGCTCTTCACTGTTTGCCATTTAGGTTTTATTATAGCAATATTTTTTGTGATCGCATTCGATTACCATAATGAAATGTATTCGAATTAAAGAAAAAAAAATGAAAGTATTCGAAGTAATCGAAGCTGTTAGATTCGGCGCTGGGGTCGTGGGTTCGATTGACACACGGGACAAGTATTACTGTGACCCACAGACAATTGTTCCGGTTCATGGTGCTTAGTCCGAAGAATAAATGGTGTTTGAGAGGTTAAAAACATGAAACATGATTCACATGTTAAAACATTAATGCAAAGAACATTAAACATTGTAATATCTCCAGTTTGATAAACTTTATGAGGCGTAAAATTCTGTTTCTAAATACGCAACGTAAGAAAGTGTAGAATGCTACACACTTGTTATGTCTGTATACATCAAATATAGTGTTAGTTATATATAATCAAATAAATATTTCTGGAAATATTTTAACACAACGCTATCTAGTCCCTAACTTAGCAAAACTTGTACTGTGGATACTACGAAACTCTGATAAACGTATTTAAGCATACTTTTCTTTTGTAAATAAATACGTGTTATAGATATATGACCCGGACCCAGATACTAGAAAAACATTACGTTCTGATGAACGTTTTCCAGTAACACAATATTTTTCCAATAGTGGGGATCGAACCCGCACCCTCTGGCGCAGGAGACAGGTCCACTATTCTCTGCGCCAATCGGGCCGTGAGTTATACCAAACGTATCAAACCGAACTAAATCAATTTATTATTATAAATTATGTAATTTTTAATACCATGTTGACGATAACTGTTCGCGCTTTCACCATCTGAGCGTTAAAAATTCAATGTAAAAATCCTCGGATGCTGTCGCGATATAATATAATAGATAATATTAAAAACAGTTTAACATTTGGCTCTTTCGAGAGAGGCGAAGCTAGCAATTAATCCGCCACCCGCTTAATTCTATTAACATTGTTCCTGTACCCTTATGATTGATGGTCGGGGGCAACATGTGTACACTCTTTATGCCAAATTGATTTTTCAACGTCCCTCATTTCGATAGCTTTATCAGATGCGCGTTTAATGCGAACAATTACTGATTTCATTACAAACGCTCTTTCAACTTATTTTGTTTAGTTCGATATTCAATGACAGGTTTTATAACCTTTAAACAAAAATATACTTTTTCAACCCTTAATGTGCGACTAGACAACTGTATTGTCGAGGTGGGTAATACAAATTGGTGGGTAATACACGATTGGGAATAAAGCCCACGACGCGAGGCGCGTAACTTTATCACTAGCAATCTTGTACATCGTATGTTAATTTTAACTATATATTAGTTATTTTAAAAAGCCTAATAGAAAGCGGGAGATTAAACCTAAATAAAATGCTTCTCCATAGGTAAAAAAAACTAGTTCAATATAAAAAGCCCTGATAAATGCTAAATATTTCTATCCTACTATATCGGGAAAAAATGTAGATATTACATTATTTGTGATCAAACAATTTAGTGTTTACAAACAGGGGCCATACCTCGGTCCGCTTCTCTTCACAGTGTATAGAGGCTCCCTTGCGGGAATCCATTGCAACAAATGTCAACCTCTCGACCAAAGCCTATTATATAAGGGATTACGAGTAATGAAATATCTTTAATCTTTATTAGTTTCTGTGCGGGAAGATTTCTGTCGGCATTCAGAGGCGATTCAGTTTGATTGGATAGTTTTTCCTCCTCAGTAAAGGAGAGCTTTGATTGCTTTCGCATTATATATTATATCCTTTCTACGTTATTTTTGTATGCCATCAGAAACTCTCTTACATCGCATTTCTTAATATCCCAAACTACTATTTCCCAAAGGTTTTTTTTGTCGGTATGTCACGATTTTCAATCATCATCAAATCAAAAATATATTTAATCACATAGACGCTTGCGCGTTCTTATGAAATGTCAAAATTTTACATAAAAATAATACGTTCGTAAGTTCCGGTTCGGAAAGCAGTATTTGTTCAGAATCAATCGGCAAGAAACTCAACAGTTGCAATGTAATTGCTTATCATATTTAATTATTCATACAACATTTTATATCTTATGTTTACCGCTATTGATGGGAAATGACAATTATAATAAAGTTAATGTGTTCACAACAACTTTCGATTAAACATTCTTATAAAGAAATAATGCTGTCTATTTACAAACTGACCTGCATATCCCCCCTAACACAGATGTCCTAGGGGCAGCAATAAATAACCACGTAGTGTGATAGTGTTGAATCATTATTATTTTTACTTTAACAAGCCCCATTTGAAATGGCAACCCCTGTAACTTATTCACATGCCATTTTCCCCGTTCATAGATTATTTTTCTCGTCAGGTGTCAAGCGGGCACGGGAAGGTGCGTGGTGGACAAAGCCCATAGGAACCAGTGCCAAGCATGCCGACTCAAGAAGTGCCTCGCAATGGGAATGAATAAAGACGGTGAGTAGACCCATGTTTCGATTTTGTTTATTTTTATGGCAACGATTTCCGATACAATGTACAAGGCATAATCACTATGTAGGTTTTACGGTAAGTGAAACTACATAGTAATTAGTCACTTATTGAACTTACCAACACTTTTCGATCCGTCTCGGAACCAATGGTATCACATACAAATACGAGGTAGATATGACATTAGCGCACCAAAACTGAGGCACTCAAATAACACCAGTTGATCAAACTCTATAGACTGGTATCTCTTTCTGTATCATACGTTCTTTGTCATCTGTCACATTCACTAAGTTTTGAAACGCCGCCCAGTGTGGACAGGCGTCATTTATATTATTAAACATCATTGTGTTATACAATATATATGACCATTTAACTCACTTGTGGGTTCTTAACTACACTTGTCAGACCATAACTTAAACAAGGCTACATAAGTATAATATTTTTTTATGTTAACGAAACATGTTTTAGGTAAATTGGAATCGATAATTATCCCAGTTCCAGTGGAAAGGTTCGCTCCCACACTACAACACAATGAACGACATCAAAACACGTCATAACATGTCGGGATCCGACGATAAAAACAAATCCGAGTAGCGCTTTAGCCGTCACATACAAGCGACGAGTCAACAGGGCGTTACAATATTGGTACGGACAACCGGTCCGACCCCCCACATTGTTATTGCCGATGCATAGAACAGAACATTTCTATTAGACGAGCGATGAGGCACACTCTGGTTTGGCAAAGGGTACCCGTTCGTTTATTTTTTTGGTAGGCAAATTCGTTTTGTACTCACCAATAACAAACAGTCGGTACGTGATATAATTGGTACGAAAGCTAGCATTAATAGTACTCAACTTTACATAATCGTGTTCATATTCCAGTGTTACCAACACTTCGGTGAGTAACTTAGGTATACGTTATTTCATCTGGAGATAACACTAATGGTCTGTTGCAAATTCAAAGGACCTGTATAGTAGTGCTTAAATCAAATCATTTAGAAAATTGATTAACCATAGGCACAATGACGATCGCAGATTTCCCTAAACAGTCCATTAGTTCCTAAAATAGCCTACTCTATTAATATAATATCACGTATACATAAAAGATAATATGTAACAAAAATATCCATATAGCTTAGATTACGGAGCGTTCTATAAAAAAGAGAAAGAGAAAACATATTATTCCTCTGGGAGAATACATTCCAACGGCACAGTTGGCTACGAACATATCTCACATATTTCTTCATATTCGAAACAGAATCTTAAGGTCTTAGTGAGCTCAAGTCAATTTTAAGATAGATAAATACTAAACGAAAACAATGCAGCGTTTTCAGTTTAGAGAAGGGTTTTGAAATGGCCAGGGGAAAAAAACTTTTAGCGTAGCACGCGCCGCCACGTGCCGGTAACCGCTCCGTATACAAATTACGGCTTACGTTACCCTAAAAAGATCTCCTCCGTTTAATTTTTCAAGTCGCGCATACATTTGTTAGTTTTGCGCCTTCCACCGTGATGGGTACGGTGGAAAAATTTAAATGGACCGAACGATATGGTTGTCTGAGCAATCGTGATGCTGCAAGGGACGTGCATGTGTTCAAAGTTTACATTAATGTAAAGTTTTATTTTTAATTTTTTGATTAATGAATTAACCCTCTTGGATTTTTTTAATGTGAAAATTTGCCAAGCGAGCTGGCGGTTCACCTGATGTTACACTAGCCTGAAGCTACACCCGAGGTTGCAGTTGTGTAGACAACCGTTTTGTAAATTGGCCTCCGGCTAACTCACTCACCAGACGAAACACGAAAGTATTATGCGTCCATTTCATGCCAGTTTTCTGTGAGATCGTGGTACTAAACCGACGAGCCTGTCCATTCATGCAACAGCCGAGGCTGCTGCGTGGTGCTACCACAGGTAAAATCAGGTCTTGGATAAAGAAAATATCTTCATTGAAGTAAAACCAGTTTCAAATAAGTATTTTAATTAATCCTAAAGCAGTATAACCTCTAATGTTTCCGGTCACACATCTACGGTACTACGAAAAAAGCTTTATGTGGAATAAGTTCTTAAAAGTGGTCAAAATTTAATACGACATGTTCAGCAATTTTCAGCACTTTTTCAATACTTTGATACTCACAACAGAGTTTATTTTGATAGGTCAATGTTATTTACGTATTAATTAAAATTGTCTGTCATTATAACACCTCAATTTGATCGGATGAATTGCTATCATAGACAAAAAGCATTGTTGCAACAACTATGCAAAAATTATGAATTCCGGTAATTGTTTTTAGTTTTGTCGATATAAAAGCTATCAAGGGTACTGTTTTTTTTATGTAGAATTATAATCAATTTCACATGGACAAACATCCAGATACGAAATAATTATCCGTGGGTCACACAAATACTTGTCCCGTGTGGGAATCGAACCAACGACCCTCAGCGTCGAAACCAAAGTCGACTAATTCACAATCACCATTCCAAATCTGAATGTGAGGTAAATAGAAAATTCGCGTATCTTGTATCCCGTTAGACGTGAAATGCCTTACGTCTTCTGCTCACACCGTATCGTTGCAGTCTCCGCTAATGTGATTGCAACTAACCGCTACGTCTCTGACCCCTACCAACGCTTATTAAGTACAAAGCCATTACCGTACAACCCTTTCCGCCGCGGGCTTTGCTTTATTACAGCTTATGTCGCACGTTCCCATTGTTAAAACACAATAGACTCCACCTAGGCTCAGTTGAACGGAAGAAGAAAGGGACCGATATTCATTTTTCTGCAACGGTCCTTCGAGCGAAGTGTTTCCTTACGGAATCACGGCAATAAAATCGCTAAATTGACATATAAATAATGTGACGGCTGGATTTATTTATTTATTTATTTATTTATTTATTGCACATCCATTAAGTAACAAAAAGGTGTTAGGGTAATTAGTAAAATAGTTCTTTATGGACCCTGTTTATAGGGCATAGTACACAACAAATCATAAATTCGGAGAGAGCAAGATGTATCACTTAGGTAATTTAATGGGGTACTTGTATATGTAGTTGGTATTTTGAGAGGCTATTTATTTTTATCGGTAACATTTATTAGTTTTAATTTATATATTAATTATGAGTAATTTGTTTAATATATTTATAATGTGAGATCATTATGTGTTATTTATATCTATAATATCCAAGGTATCTCCAAAATATTCTTTTATATCATAATATGACTTGGTAAGTAATAATTCTTTTAATTTTTTTAGGAAAGTTTTATCGTATTTTTCGTCTTTTAATATTTGCGGTAGTTTGTTATATATCTTGATGGTGATTACATAGGGACTCGTTGAGTATAATTGTAGTGTAGAAGTGGGTTGCATTAGTCTGTCTTTATGTCGTAAGTTGTATTGTACAGGAATTTCACCGCGCTTTTGATAAAGCCAAGGATTTTTTCGAACAAATTTACATATTTCATATATATATAAACTTGGTAAGGTAAGTATATTTAGCTTTTTAAAGTGGGGTTTACAGCTATCTGTTTGATTTATATTAACTAGGATTCTTATAAGCTTTTTTTGTAGAGTAAAAATTGCAGGAGCACCTGTGCTATTCCCCCAGAGAATCAATCCGTAGTTAAGCCATGCAAAAGAATAGGCATAGCATACTGCAAGGGCAGTTTTCAAGTCAGTAGATTTTTTAATTTCATTGAGTGCATATGTGAAACGCGATATTTTACTACTTATTTTTTGTGTATGTTTTTTCCAATTGATGTGTGTGTCTATTTCTATTCCTAGTAATGTAAATTCTCTTGTAACTTCAAGTTCTATATCTCTGTAGAAAAAGAGATTCTTACTCGTATGTCTAGTTGCCACAGTAGATAGTTGATGTCCTTTCCGATAGGCGTTGCTTAATATGACTATCAAATAATATCAAATAAAATCAAATAATATCTCAACTAAACCAAATTTTTTATGAATTGGACATTATCGACAAATGGTGGTTTAGGGGAAGTCCAGTGTACATATGATCCATGAGATGGACAGATCAAATAAAGGTTTGGCACTCAATAAGCCGTGTATGAGTGTCCGAGATAGACATCTGTTTGAGATAAGTGGTGATTTTGAAGCAATTCACAACCTTAAAGACGACTATGACTAGGCTGCAAAGAATGTGATTCCTAAAAAAACAAAATCGCAATTATATTTAATTGTTTAGGAGGTACACAATCATTAAAATATATGTCAACGATTATATGGGAAAGGGCTAATAATAAGCGATGTTAATACTTGCTCGGTATTAACTATTAATATATTGATTACTAATTAACTTATTTCGAATGATCGAAACAACTATGTTAGTTTTATGTAAAGGTCCAATATTAATCGATCAATTTGAACCATTTTAATTCCTAATGTTTGAAACACTGCTACATCCTTGTTAACGGGACATTTTTGACTGTCTATATTAAATCCAAATGACTATTTTATCTAGCAATGTATTTAGACAAATAGAAGAATTCATTCAGAAACAGCAAAAAGAAATCGAGGAGAAACATATTCAAATTGAAACATATTGAAAGTCAAATCCCAATTGTTACTACTCGAAACGTATCGAGAAAAAATTGAAAAAAAAAAACACTGCCCGCGCCATTAATGCGGAATGCCCTTAAGCCGATTCTAATAAGTCGTGCATCGGCCACACCTACAGCGTAACGACCGCACATTCTCACAACCACAGATAATTAAGCAAAAACTACAAAGCTCAGGCCCCGCGGCGTTCGCGCGTTGCATTCAAATGAACCCACCCCAGGCTGTTTAACCGCGGTTATATTTAAATCCGCTTTAACAATGTCATTATTGTGCCCGCCAATAATTGGTCAGCGCTCGCGATAACAAACTTGTCTCGTGAGTCCTGCATCATATTTACTGTTAAGGGATTCGCAATATTCACAAGATGTGGGAAACGTACTCATTATAATTAACTAAAAATTGTGATTTATTTAATTA